GGTGGGGAGGGCGTGGCGGTGTTGCAGGAGCAGGGGCGCAAGATGAAGCGGCTGTCGGAGCGCAAGGCCGCGGAGGCCGGCGGCGCCCGGCGGGCCCGCCCCACCCACGTCTCCTGCCTTCTTCCTGGCCCAGGCGGGGCTCAAGTTCCTGGCCTCCGCCGCGGCGCTGGAGGGCGAGCGCAAGGGCGCCGCGAGCGCGCCCCTGCTCTACCGCCAGACCGCGGCGCTGCTGGACACGGCCGCGCGCTCCGCGGCGGCCGCGTCCGGCCCGCCCCTGGTCACCGCCGCCACGGCGCTGCTCTGCGAGCGGCTGGCCGCGTTTGCGCGCCTGCGCTCCGCGCACCTGCGCCGCGGCGAGCTGGCCGCCGCCGCGCGCGAGTTCAGCGCGGCGGTGGAGCGCGGCGTGGGCGAGACCTTCAGCCGCCCCTCCCCCACCGACAGCAACGTCTCCTCCACCCTGCCCGCCGGCGGCGCGGGCGGCGGCCCGCGCACGCCGCCGGGCACGCGCGGACGCGCCGATGGCGACGGGGGCGGGGCCCCGACGACCGCGCCGCCGGTGGGCCGAACCCCGGGCCGAACGACCTGGTCGCCGTGCCGCGCGCGGTCCTGGAGGCGCAGCTGGCGGCCGCGGCGGAGATGCAGCACCTGTTCTCCGCCCTCTCCGGCCTGGCCCGCTCCTCCGACCGTCTCCGCGCCTTTGTCCAGCGCGCGGAAGAGGAGGGCAGCGTCGCCGCGGCGCGCGCGGGGGCGGCCGCGCTGCTGGCCGGCGCCGACGGCGGCCTGGGCCCCCCGACCGCCATGCTGAGCCTGGCGCGCGAGGCCCTGGACAACCTCAAGGTCATCTGAGGTGATGGAGGGCGCCAAAGCTGCTGGAACAAGGCCGGCTGGGCCGTGCTTTTCCACGTGGCCGCACCCAAACCTGCCCCATGGCCGGCGCGACCCCTCCCATCCGAGGAGCAGGCCACCGGCCAACCCCGTACGCGCATTGCGTTGCATGTGAAACTCCCTGTGCATTTGAAACCCAGCGACCCCCCGGCGATGTATGTTCTCACCCTTCCATTCGCCGCCCCGCCTCATTGAAGCCCGCCCCGCGCATGCCCCTCCCCCCCCCGAAAAGTATTTGCTGGAATGTTTGTCGCCCCGAGGCCAGCCACTCGTCGCCCTCGGTCCCGCTGGCAGGCCTCCCTTTGCCGCTTGCGCGTGCTTTCTTGGCATGCACGCCTGTGTTATTCTGACGCCCTGCTGCTGGGGCGCCACTGTAATATCTCTTTGCTGTTGGTTGGAGGGTTCAAGCTGTGACGTCGAGGTGGTGACGGGTAGGACGGAAGGGTGGGACACAGCGCGTGCTGGGTGAGGTGAGCAGAGTTGCAGATGACCAAGGGTCCTGGAACACGGCCCGGTGCTCCTTCGAGCAGGGCACACTTGAGTGCAGCCTCCTTTGTTGTGACGCAGGCTTGTTTCCGCTAGGGAAAACCAAGGGGACTCGTCTCAACAATGGCCTGCGCATGCCCCCGCCTCACGACAGCTGCTCGCCGGCTTCCAGGGCCTGCGCCTGCTCCAGGATCCTGGCGACGTCCATGGGCGGGTAGTGCTGCAGCAGCTTCATGTTGGCTGAGAAGTCGCCCTGTGCAGGACACGGGTGCTAGCTGTCTTCGGTCGAGGACATGGTCTGCTTTATATTTCCTTCCGCAAGTTACGGTCCCAGGGTGCACTTCGCTTGCATGAGGGCACGTCGAGACGTCACATATGCCAAACTCTGATGCCAAACTCCGCTCTTCAGGCTGTGCTCACGCTGTCCCTGCTGCGCCATCTTCCCCTCATCATTCCCATGGCCCTCCCCATCGCCTAGTCACCTGCAGGATGTCCTGCCGCACGATCACGAGCATGGCGAGGCAAAAGCGCAACAGGTCCTCGCCGCCGCGCGACCCGCCCGCGAGCAGCCCGTCCCAGAGGCGCAGGCTGTCCGGGAAGGGGAACTCCTGCGTCAGCATCAGCGTGATCCAGCGGAAGGCAAAGTAGTGGGGGGCCACGCCGTTGCGGTCCAGCAGGTGCTCCGCCAGCTCAGCGTCCAGCGCGCGTAGGCGGTCGGCCAGGCGGGCCAGCGTTGCCTTAATCCCGGCGGCCGAGTCGTCCAGCTGCTGGCAGAAGTGGTCCCGGCACCCCGACACCAGCTCCATGAAGCAGAAGAAGGCGTCCGCCTCGGCGCGGCCCCGCTCCTCCTCATCGGCAGCACCTGTGAGGGCGTCACGCAAGAGGTGGGTCGGAGGGGGGCCATGCATTGCAACACCATGGAAGCAAACAACAGCAGTTCCTCCATGAAGAGGAGAATCCAAACAGCGAGCCACACCTACAGCATCTACACCCTGCCACCGGTGCCCACCCGGTGCCCACCTGTGTAAAAGACGTGGTACAGGGGGGCCAGGAGCTCGTTCATGCCTTGCACATACTTGATGCCGGGGTTGAGCTTTGCATAAATGAAGAGCGCGCGAGACATGGCCTGCGGATAGTGCTTGGCTTGCTTTATTGTCGGCATGAGATCATGGTCCTGCTGCAGCTCAGACAGGGGTCGCCTGCCTCTGCATCCCGCAGAATCAGCCTCGTAGCCCTTGCCTGCCTCCAATCCCAATCCCCCTACACCCTACAACCTCAAACCCACCCTGCGATGCTGCGTGGCGGCCTCTCCCTCGCCGCTGAAGAAGTGGAGGTCGGGGTGGGTGCGCAAGACGTCGCGATCTATCTGAGCCAGCATCTCTTCGTCCTGGAAACGCAGCCGCCACTGGCTGTCGGGGGCGGCGGACAGCGGGTGATCGCCGTGTGGGAGGGAGGACCGGCTCAGCGTGTCGGGCGAGGCGGGGAGGGGTGCGGAGCCGAGAGGGTTGGGAGAGCTGGCGTGGGACCTGCCAAACTCCTGCCATGGATTTGTGTGATCGAGGGAAAGGAGGATGCTTGTGGAGGGGCTCGTGGGGTGCATTTGAATGATCGGAGACAAGCAACGTCATTGAAACGCAACCTGCGCCGTGAACATGGCTGACGTAGAGCTAGCCGTCGTGCTGAAGTTTGGGTTTTCCAGCTTGTCATTCCACATCTTTCTCGTTGCCTCGCACCGCTACCTTGATGAAGTGTTCGTACTCCGCCCGTTTCCGATCCAGATGCCGCGCTCTAGCAGCTTTGACGACTGGAAGGTACCCCAGGCACAACTGGGTAGTGGAGTAGGAATGAGAAAGGTGACACTCCCAAAGATGTAGAAGGAGCATGGGTATCAGATGCGACCCCGTTCAAGATGGAGAAGCAATCGAGTGCAACGACAAGTTCTTTGTGAGCTGGCGATGTTACTGTCCGACAAGGATCTCTACCTTCCAGACTGTAGATCGTAGGCCCTTGACTTCCGGAACTCCCTGGGCTGCCAAGGCCCTCAGCCGTGCCATATCCACTCGAGGCTCAGCAAGGACATCGGTAAATGCTTGGACACCCGCTCTTGCTGATTGAGCTCCAGCTTCGAGCGCTGGCTCAGACATCGGAGCTCTCGCCTGGTGCTACAAGAGATCAGTCACCCCCCCGGACAGAGCACCATCGCTTCACTGAGCATCCAGCAGCTGCAATGCCAATTTATGAAGAACCTTGAGGAGACTCACATCGATCTGTGACAGCGGGCACAGGACTGTGTCTTCAAGCATGTATGTATCACACACGGCAGCGCGCCCGCGCGTTCCCCCGGTGATATGACATAGGGCTGGAGGCTGCTGTAAAGTTGACTTACACATAGGTCATGGAGATGTGTTGGCGTTAAAAGGGTCTGAAGTGCTGGCGCTACCAATGAAAGAAGTGAAATATTATGCTCCTGCAAATCTTGGAGGTCCTACCGCATCAAGGTTGCATCGTGCACAAAACGATTGGTGTGGAGCATGCAGCACGCTCCCATATACAACAGCGTGGTTCAAAGTGACAAACAGTTCATGGAGTTTGAAATTTGTATGCAGTGCCATGGTAGTGTGAGCAGGCCATAATGTCCCTGCACCTGTCGAGCTTATTTCTTCCCGCCACACTTCCGATCGTGTTTTGGCAATCGAACTCCTTTCGAACAAAGGGGCGACGGCCTCCGACAGACTCCCTCGATAGACATCCGGAACACAGCGCAGATACACCAGCCACGCGGTGCATGTCTAGGATCCACTGAGAGAAACAGAAGAGGCAGTTACTCGGCCTCACGCCACCCTGGCATGATGGTGCGCCCAGGCAGAGCCACAGTCCGTAAGGGAAAGGGCTTGCCGGTCCCGAGGCAACTAGCTGCGGAGGACATCATCCAGGACAGCCAGCCAGAGGATGAGGTGAGTGATTCTAATGTGCAAATCGTGCAGGGCTTCGCCAGGAGTAGACGTAGATTTCCACATGGGAACCCCCCACCACCCCTTTGCACAGGGTGTGGCAAGCGTGTTCCCCTCACCACCAGCCAAGCGCGCAAGAGTCCGTCGCGGCCTCGAGGCAGCCCAGGGGGACGCGGAACCCCCTGCTGGCAACACCAGAGCCACACGAGGCAGGGCTGCACGGTCTGCAGCCCCCGCTGTGTCACCTGCTCGCCGCACACCCGAGCCGGCTGGGGAGCAGGCAGCGCAGACGTCGGGCCTGGTGACCCTCAGCCCCCCGCCGCAGTCCCCCGTCACGACTGCCACCTGCCCGCCGCCGCCCAGTCCCGGCCGGCTCACAACCGCGTCAACGCCGCCCTGGATGCAACGCTATGCCGAGGTGCATTGAGGAGGGTTGGTTTGAACTCCCGTCGATGCCACCAAGGGTGCTTTCAATGTCGCAATCGAGCTGGAGACGTTTGGCATACGCTGGGTGCCCTAAGAAATACTATACATCGAAGCTGAACAGAGCCCCTCCTGATCAAAACCAAAACCCTTGCAGATGGACCCCCTGGAAGCCAGCACAAGCTTCCTGACCACACGCCTGCAGCGGCCGCGCAGCCCGGAGGCCGCCACCCTGGCCCTCCGCCCCGCGCTCCAGGCCGTGGTGGCAGACCTGGCTGCCTGCCTGGAGGGCACCGCCTCGCTTGGCCACGCGGCCTCCCTCCTGCTGGTCGGACCGCGGCAGAGCGGCAAGACCCTGGCGGTGGAGCGCGCGCTGCGCACGCTGTGCGCCCGGCACAACTGGGGTGAGGGCGCTGAGCCCAGCGTGGGGGTGGTGCGCCTGGCGGGCTGGGCCCACGCCGAGGAAAGAACGGCTTTCCGAGACACGGCGCGGCAGCTCTGCGAGTGAGCTGTAGGAATTGGGGGGAGGGGGGATGACAGGGTTGAAGTTGTGTGACAGGCAGGATGTTGTGCTGTTGGGGTCAAGGTACCTTGAGAGTGCTTGAGGATACATGCCAGCAAGGGCGTGCCAGCAGGATTGGAGAGCGATGCTGAGCATGAACTTGAGCCAGCACAGCGCGGTGCTTGTGCGCAGACCAGAGACTGTGTACAGCCCGCCCATGGACACAGCAACCACCCATCTCATACACCCTTGATGCACACTCTCCATCGCTACATGTGCCACACGTATCCTCATCTCCCCACCTAACCCACGCAGGGCCTTCGACTGCGTCTTCAAGCGCTCGGCCTCTGTCGGAGAGAACATCGAGTTCCTGCGGGAGATGCTGCAGTGCATCTCCAGGTGGGCGGGTGGCTGGGTGAGGCGAGGAAGATGCCTGCTCCCCATGCTATTATTTTGGACTCGCTCCACCCTCACCAGCTCAACCCCTTGTCCTCCATCGCCCGGCCTTCACACTCAATCACATCATCGAGAGAACCAACCATTCCATTTCACACCCGCCCTTTCCCTCCTCCCCTTCATCCCTCAAGGGCCCAGAAGACGGTGGTCTTTGTGCTCGACGAGTTTGACGCCTGGGCGCGCCGCCCGCGCCAGACCCTGCTCTACGGCCTGCTGGACGCCATCTCCTGCAGCGGCGTGCGCGCGGCGGTGGTAGGCACCACTGTGCGCGGCGACGCGGTTTCCTTGTTGGAGAAGCGCGTGCGCAGCCGCTTCAGCCACCGCGTACTGACCGTGCCGCGCGTGGGCGCCAACGAGGCGCCGGGCGTGCTGCGCGCCTGGCTGGAGCCGCCGCCCGGCTGGCCGCATGCCTGCACGACTCGCTGCGACCCGGCCGCCGCGCTGGCCGCGCCAGGGGTCAGTGCGGCGCTGAGACGCGCCGCGGCGCGGCGCGGGGGGCTGGCGGGGCTGGCGCAGGCGGCGCTGGCCCTGATGACCGACTCCGCGCGGCGCGGGGGCGCGCGCCGCCGCCCGGCGCCCTGGCCGCGGCGCTGGCGGC